TCCCCAGCCAGCAAGGCTGGCTGGGGAATTCTGGGAGCTGAAGTCCACACATCTTAAAGTTGCCGAGGTTGGGAAACACTCCCTTAGAGATAGCGAGACTCCCTGCAGCTTCCAGTGACCTCACCAAAGTGTAATTTTTAATGGAACAGAAGTGGAGGGGGGTTGTGAAATATATGGAAGGTGAACATTAACTGTGTTTAATTACAGTGAAAAGTAAATTTTAGTTTCTGTTCTGGCTCCAACAACTTTTTCAGCAGTGGCTCCTGGCAGGCCTTTGACCTGGGGGGACAGGAAAGGGGCTTCCTCTTTTCTTCAAGGCAGGGGACACCTTCTTAGTAGCGGTGCCTTCCCATTGGAATTATTTCCCTCCAATACTCAGCTGGCCCCAACCCTCCTGGCCTTTAGAAAGGCTTTAAAAACTTGGTTACTTTCCTGGGTGTTGGGGCTGGAATGAATAAAGTCCCCCATCAGGAGAGGGTATGAATGTGATCCACGTGGCCCACTATGAGTATCTATTGACTGATGTTGTTAGGGTTTGTTGTAAGTTGCCTTCTTTGATGGGCAGCCATATACATGCTGTAAATAAATAAAAAATAACCTTGAGGAACATCTGTCCAAAGTCCTAGAAGGGCTGAGGGAGAAGTGGTGATACGTAGGCAGCGTCCCTGGAGGTGAGTTAGGATTTTTCATCACCTTTCCCCCCATTTTCGTTCTAAGCCTGTTATGCTGCTGCTTTCGTTACGTCTTTAAGGCAATTCTGCATATTTTCTACGGTGCCTCCCTTGGTTTGGCATCTGTTTCAACCCAAAGCCTTGAGCAAAACAAGAGCCCTCAGCTGTGGCTTTTACACAGCCCAGCCCAGGGTTGCAAAGAAGAAAGACTTTATTTGGGCACTCTCAAAGGGCCTCTTAAAAGTGCTCCCTGATGGCAGAAGTCCAGCCGAGACGGTCTTTCCAGGAGTTAAGAGGACTTAGGGTGCCTTCCACGTAAATGCTCTTTCATCAAAAGAGGTCCACTTGGTGTTGGCTTAGTGAGTGGATCTGCTTTTTCCAGGCACAACTGACGCATTCCCTGGGGACTGGCGAAGAGTCCATTAGCAAGGCCAAGCAGAGCCGGAGCGAGAAGAAGGCTCGAAAGGTGAGTCTGGAGAATCTTGACTTTCCCATGAGATGCCAATTCTGCCAGTAGCCTGCCAAGGCCCAGGAATGCCCATAGGAGGGAACATTAGGTGGGTTGATACATCTGCGGATATCTCAGGAGGCTTCTGTTGGCAGAGATTATCTGCCGTGTTGATTACCTGCGCACAACACTTAACTCTTGCCAAGAGCATCTGGACAACGCAGGCACCGCCCTCCCATTGAAAGCAATACAGTCACGGCCTCCAGTAAGGCATCTAGTTGTCTGACTTGAGAAAAGGTTGCACATTAATTCCTTGTAACAATTCCTGCCCTTGCTTTTTATGATGTGGGTGAATTCGGCCACCAATCTTAAACTGTGGTTATGTTTCAGAAGCCCCAGTAGCAATGGATCGAACCATCTGTGGCTTAATTAGGATGGTGGGCCCAGCCTTAGTCCTACTGGGAGAAAAGCCCCTCCAAACACTAGGATTTGAGTTTTACTGGTTTCGGTGGGTCCGTTCCAGCTGCAACTAAGCAGTGCTTCAGCTCCATAACGCTCAGAAATGTTCTCTCGTGCCTTTATGGGAAGTTTTTAAACAAAAGTGACAAGATCATAAACCATTTATATAAAAATGCAGGATGAAATCAAGCCAAAACGAATAAAATCATGAATGATGATGCACTTAACAGAATTAGTATCCTTTGTCTAACAAGAACATTTTTTACTTAGTTTTATGAGATATCCATAAATATTGTATAAACTGATTGCGAAATTATAGAACAAAAAACCTTTTCTGCAGAGGCTCTCCAGTTTGACCTCATTCCATAGGATTCCTGTTTGTAATTTTGGGTAGGTGGGGGGGGAGGAAGTCACCCCTTTATTCCTAAAAGCAGGGGACAGATCTGGAGGCTGAGCGTCTGTGGCCGTGGAACACTTTACTCTGGATTGCCGGGGGGGGGGGAATAGAGGGGAACATGCCTGGATCTTGCACCCTCGTTTGTGCAAACTAATGAGGTCAAGACTTTTCCTCCATATCAGCCTTGCACTGATATGGATAGTCCCAGTATTCTCCACCCAAGCTTTTTAAGAGCAGCATTGAAAGTGTGAATTTCCCTTAAAAGGTAGTTTGCTTGAAGATGGGATTCACCAGACACCCCAACTCACTACCAAGGATCTTGGTAGCCCACTCACCAGGGCCTGGAGGATGATACAGAGGACCATCTTGGGTCTGCATTGACTGCCGGGCAGAAATTATTGGCTAATCTCTCCTTTTCCCCTGTGTATTGTCATTCCCTTAGATGGGTCAGGTACCAGGATCCCCAGGAGCTCTTAAGGGAGGAATGGGGTGCCCTTCCCAATAGCAGCACATAGTCAAAAATGCAATTCAGTGTATTGTGCATGTCCTGGTGATTGGATTAAGGAAGGAAACCATGACGGCTAAGTGCCTGGTGCCAACACAGTCAGGATGAAAGTTACACTGACGTTCAGGGCTATTGATGTCTTGGGAAAAACCTAGAAAAGAAGGAAGGTGTTGGGTGGGTCTTTGGGAGCATTACTGGCTTCAGTGGTTGCCGCCGACCTTCCAGCCTTTTATCCAAGGACATTCTCTGGGGTAGGAAGGGAAAACACAGGCAGACTTGCAAGATTCTGTTGCTATAGCTCAGTGTTTCCCAACTTCAGCAATATTAAGATGTGTGAACTTCAACTCCTAGCATGCTGGATGGGGAATTCTGGGAATTGAAGTTAACATATCTTAACATTGCCAAGGTTGGAAACACTGCTGTAGCCTATCTTAATAAATAAAGACTTAACAGTTTTCCTGTGAAGTCGCTTTCCTGATCTGATCTGCCTCATAGGATTGGCAAGGTGGAAGTCTTCTGTTGATTGTGGAAGACATCTTCCAAGATATTGCTAAATGCCCCAGATCCCCTTAGATCAGCCCCAAATTCTGGGGCATAAATTTCTGAAGTGGCTTCCACTTTCTTTGGATCTGGACTGAGATTATGTACCATTCTAGATACGTGAGTTCTCTCAGGGGTAGGAAGAATTGGCTCTTTGTTTTGTTCATACTGGCAGCCTCTGTGGTGAATAGGACTTTCCGTAGTCCATGGTCCATCATATTTTAAAGAAGACCATAAATCAAGATGGCATTCTATGCAGCAAGGGGTTGGACTTCAAGACCTCAGTGGGCCTTGCCAACTCTATCATTCTGTGATACAAAGTAGTGGTGGTTCCTCCTCCTCCTCCTCCTCCTCCTCATTCTTCATGCAGCTCATTGGTTCACCACATGGCCTACCAGAGGGACTGCTTTCTTTTTGCCTTCCTTTGCTTTATGCCTGTGGTTCCATCCCCACTGCATTACTGTGAATTAGTTGAAATGGTGCTAACCGGGGGTTGTCGTCTTCTTCGTTCCCAGGCCATGTCCAAGCTGGGTCTGCGGCAAATCCATGGTGTCACCAGGATCACCATCCGCAAATCCAAGAATATTTTGTTTGTGATAACGAAGCCAGATGTCTTCAAAAGCCCTGCCTCGGACATCTACATTGTCTTTGGAGAAGCCAAGGTGAGCTGGGAAGAGGAACGAGCAAGGAGCTTGACTGAAACGTTGCTGCAGGGCAGTCTTCCCAACCTCCAGATGTGGTAGGACGGCAGGTCCCAGAATTTCTGAGCCAACATGGCCTCCACACTAGGATGATGGTATTATACCACAGGAGGGTGTCAGTCTGTCTTTCTAAAATTATAGTGAGATGAATGGTTGGAAGGAGGAGAGATCTCCTTCAAGGCTATAGCCCAAATTGTAAGGGGGAGAAGCTGCCATCCAGAACTGGGTTTCCCCAATCTGATGCCTTCCAGATGTGGAGGAGCACAATTTTCCTCTCTGATGGGCAGCAGATGTTATAAGGAAAATATTCCACCCAGCAGGAAAATACCAGGCAAGCTGGCCTATTAATTTAAGTTTTCCTCACAGGATTGAGCCTCATCTTGCCAAGGCTTCTTAGCTTCTGTCTGCCATTGTCCTTTTTCCAGTGCCCAACAAGAGAAAACAATAACTGGAAAGCTGTTGAGACTCTTCTTTTATTTTTAATGTTATTATATATTTTAGTTGTTCTGTATTTCTTAACCCAAGAGGCCAATGGATTTTCTTCTTTACATTTCAGCCGGGGGCTAAGTTGGGGAAATCTGATTTAAAATTGAGGTTTGGGGGCCGCTCTCACATTCCTGGTTGTAGGATCCAGCTTCCTTGTAGAGTATGGAAGGGGCAAGGAGACCTTTGTCAGGCGCTGGAGTTGTTGGAGGTCTTTTCTTGGGCACATCCTGGAAATGGACAGGGCGTGAGTTTGGCCAGTTTCTCCCCATTCAGAGTGGCAGGAGACGAGCTGACTTTCCTCCCGTGCCCCTCCTGCAGATCGAAGACCTCTCGCAACAGGTACACAAAGCTGCAGCAGAGAAGTTCAAAGTTCCTGTGGAGCACTCGCCCTTGATCACAGAAACAGCCCCCACCCTCACCATCAAGGAGGAGAGTGAGGAAGAGGAGGAGGTAAGGGATGTAAGGCGAGTGAAGGCACTTGGAAGTGGGAAGAGAGCAAGATGGCAACCTTTTCCAGCCAGCACTGGGGCTAGGGATGGTGTGAGTTATAATTCTGGATCTGCGTGGGGAAGGCAGTGGGAAAGAGGAAGGCCAAGATGAATGAGAATATTGGAGCTCTTCATGCTGTCCTCTTCAAGTACAAATTGGGATATCCAGGAGATAAGTAGACCCATTGATCCCAGTTCTGTCCAGGGGTCTTCCTGCGTGGAATGTCTTTGCTCTGCCCCAGAACAGTGAGCCTATCCTCTCTCCTCCATACTCTATAAAAAGGAGAATAGACTGTTTTCCATATTGGATTGTACCCCCAACCTAGACACCGTGGCTCAGCATCTCTCAGATGTGTAGGGACTACACTGCTAAATTTCTGGAAGGTGTTGGGCTGGGGGAGTTGGTTTGCTCATCTACCAGCATCTGTTCCTTGGACCGTTTTGAAAAATACGGTGTGTGGAAGCATTTGCTGGATTGATGTGTGGAATCCATTCTCCTTTCAAAGTGCAAATTGGTGTATCAGTGCAAGGGCCAATGTGTCTCCCCAGTAAGCAACCACTGATTCTTTGGGCCTATCCCTTTATGTCAAATAAGCTGAACTGTCAAAAATGATGATGCGTTCAGGATCCAGCACCTGAACTTTCTTTCTTTGGGGTCTTTCGTGCTGATGTTTTCTGAGCCACAAGTCCATCTCGTGGGAGTAATCTGGTTGCAAATTGATGGCTTCTCAAAGCTAGCTCCAGGTTCTTGGAACACCAGCAAAACGTTGGAGAAATGATCTGTATGTGAGGTAGGTCTGCTTGAACCTCGCACCATTATTTCTTCTTCTTCTTCTTCTTCTTCTCTGCCAGGTTGATGAAACGGGTCTGGAGGTGAGAGATATTGAGTTGGTCATGGCTCAGGCCAACGTGTCCCGTCCCAAAGCCGTGCGAGCCCTCCGGCACAACAATAATGATATTGTCAATGCCATAATGGTGAGTGTTTGAGGACAAAGAGGAAGAGGAATCTATCCACTGGAGGCCTTTGATGAAAGAGGAGACCTGTGCAGGCTTTCCTCTTTTATTGCTTGTTTGCTTTGTCCTGATAAATGTGCTCTAGTCATAACCGAGAGGATTTGGGGTCAAATCCTATGAGTGTCATCCAACATGTCTGTAGGATACCCGATTTAGCCCATTATGTGTCAAATATATTGACTAACACGTGAACTAACTCCACTGAAGAGTTGAGTTCCTGGTATTCTCTGAGCCTTGTTGTTTTCCTGCAGATATTTATCAGGCTAAGTAACATCAGTGCATGGAAGAGTGGAGTTTGCTGGCTGTCTACTCTCCCCTGCACTGATGATGTTACCTAGCCTGGTGTCAGCCTTCCCAGGTAGACCAGACAGGAAACATGACCAGAGGAGCTAATTCTACTTTATTGTATGGCTACATTAACAGAATCTTGCAAGTCTGAAAGTACAAATCTTCCCCCGTCTCCTTTATAGCTTGAGAAGTTGGGGCGGTCCCTTCTGAGCCTCTTTCTCTGCCCATTATGCAGCTGCGGGCCATGCCCCCTCTTATCTGACCACTCCCTAGGCAGCATCTCTTTGCCCCGTTTCTCAAGGTCTTTCTCACATACCATTATATGTGTTAATGAAACATCTGGAGGAAAATAACCAGAGAACACCAGAAAACTGACAGCTCAACCCTGACCTGTGGATGTTCTTGAACATTGGACCCACTCAAAGCTATTGCTCTCAAGGTTCTGTGGGGGTGATAATAGTTCAGTCTGTGCTCCTCCATCCAGAAGGCTCAATTAATGTGTGGAGGGCTGTTTTCAGGCAATGGGCATGGATGCACCTATCTCCTTCCTAGGCCTGATGGTTCTCTTATTTCCATTCTGTCTTACAGGAGCTGACCATGTAGTGACTGGTTGGTGCCCCCCCAGCCTCTGTCCCCCTTTCTGTATAGATGCACAGTTGCCCATATCCAATACAGCTGTTGTTTGTTAGGACTGCAAAGAATTAGTCCCAACTATCCAAACTGATGATGCTATTGCTCAATAAACGGTATATTCACTTGTGCTGCACACGGGCTCCGTGTCCTCCCTTTGTGGGGTTCCTGGTCGGTCAGGTGGTTTGAGATGCCAGATGGAATCAGCTGCAGATTTTAAAGGCATGTTTTCTGTTTGTGGCGTCTGTCTTGGGAGCGCTCTTGGTTATTTTGTGCTCCTGCTGAAAATGGCAGCGCTTGGGTCATTTCCTGAGCCCCAGCTCCACCCTGTGCTGTTAGCTTAGCTCTGGGACTTACTGGTGTAATTAAGAAATTTAAGTGGATCTTTCTCATGGAAGAACTTATGTAAGGACTGGATGAATTCACAGAGGTGAAGGGGCGAAACTGAAATCGACTGCGGTGTGGGACGTTGGCACTGCCTTCTGTGGTGGATCTTGACATATTATGGGCTGCCTTGAAGCATCTGGCCAACTTCTGGGGTTCAGTCCTGAAGGGAATATCAGCCTCTTCAGATGGAGTCCAAGTCTTATCTGCCTTAGCCTGTATAATCAAAAATTACGGGATCTGCGTTGTCAATGATCACAGATTTCTCAGTCCTGCACCAGATGAACTATTTGATTGATCCATCCAAGATCTCAGAGTTATGGAGAGCTGAACAGGGACCCACTTCTTACTGGTTTAGACTCCCATCATTCCCAGCTAGCTCAATGAATGGGATGGTGGCCGTGTGGGAAAGCTGGTGGAACATCTGTGAGCTTCATGGAACCCTGATAGAAAATACCGTGATCTCTTTGGCTTACAAGTTTGGCATTTTAAAACAGGCACACAGTGGCCACCTTCACACATCTTGCTAAGCTTGGTTAGCTTTAACCAAGGTGGGAAGCTTAGTAGCCTGTTGTAGCATTTAGAGAGTTTATAATTCAAGGTGTTGAAGAAGATGTCCACACCGTGGTGCCTCTGGGATCCCATTTGGTGGAAACCTCAGCAGAATTTCTTGCAACTCCAAGATTTAGAATGATGCCTTTCCTTAAAGAGAAGGATTACAGGAATTTGCCAGAACTAAGTCTTCAGAGTTCAAATTTAGCAGAAGTGCTGAAGCTGCAGTAGTTATGGATCTGTGTGACAGACGGTGAGCCCCCTATTCATGCCACCAGGGCTTCTCCTGCATTGTTGCATAATGTTTTGCAAGCGGAGAGGTTTTTTTGGCACTATGTCAGTTGAAACAGAGGATCCACAAGATTCTAACTGTGCGCCATATCTCTTGACGCTAACCTTGGAGCTGCTGTGAAAATCCTCTCTAACCAAATGGGGTGAGGGAACCACAGCGGCTGAGCACCCAAAGGCACCTTCCCTACCCATGTGGTGGAAGTTGCATCTGCCCCAGGGGAGTTTTGCCTGCTGAGAAATCAACCATCTCTTGTAGCTTGCAAATGAGTTGACAGCCAAGTTTCAGAATGCTGGAGCGAACCTGCAGAGGAAGAAACCTTGAGCTGACAGTCTGATGCAAGAAGAGGCAAGAACAGCTTTGTGGGCCAGATGGCGACGCTTTGGAGCTAGCATGGCTCAAGCTGGATCTCTCCTGGGTACGCGAAGCCAGACTTGTTCCATCAAACGCACAGCATGGGGAAGTTGTACCAGGGCCCTCTTTCAGTCCTGTTAAGTTGTGATCAGACCAACCTTTTAAGGAGAGATGAAAGGCGTCTACATTTGAATGAGGGCTTAGATACAGGGCTCATCACCAACGCCCTTAACCAAGTCAAGACTTAACAAGTCTTGTATGTCAGCCAGAGTCACTTTTCATGAGGTGGGCAGCCATATAAGGGTGATTAATAAATAAATAAATAAATAAATAAATAAGTACTTTGCTTGACGTGCTCAGCTTGATTGATGTTAACCAGGTTAGAGCTTTGGTGGTTTAGCGTGCTAACCTATTTACTTAGCTTATGGTTCATTTAATTAGATGACTTCAGAAAATGGATTGATTAAGGTGCCACCAACGTGGTGTCAACTCTGAGCGACCACATAGACAGACATTTTCCAGGAGCTTCTGTCCCTAAATTGGTCCTTCAGCTCTTCCAAAGGTGCCCCCATCGCCACCGTAACCGAGTCCCTCCCCCTGGCTGCTGGTCGTCCTCTTCTTCTCTTCCCTCCACCTCTCCCAGCATCAGAGCCTTGTGTTCAGCCAAAGCCTGCCGCCCCCTGGTAAAGATGCTTTAAAGTAGTGTCCTGCTCAATATGGAGGATTGGAGTCCATCTTATCCTCCAAATCTAGTTATTTGTTAGAACGGCACCCTGCTTTCCCTGCTGGAGCTCAAGATGTCATCCGTAGCCCCGTGTCCTCCATTTTTTCCCACCGTCGCCCTCAGTGGGACAGACTGGTCCCAGAGAGAGGGTAACTGTAGCATTCCTGGAGTCCTTTGTACCAGGCAATTCAAACAAATTAGCCGCTTTTAGGGCTACAGACCTGGTGTGTGCATTATATTAAGCCAGGGTTCAGTCCACCACGCGTTACTGAATAAACCAGAATGGACTGGGTTCCCACAAGCCAAAACCAAGCGGCAGTAAGGTGTGTGTGCATGTCTGTGAGAGACAGCTGTTGTAGCAGAGGAAGAAGATGGCTCCACGTGGGCTGGACACAGATGCAGTTCCGAAGACTGGAAGCGGACCAGGGTTGATTTTATCAGCGTGCGTCCTTGATGCTGGACGTGGCTTGAATGCTGCAGGTCAGACCTGGCAAGGCCGAATTACAGGATTCAAATCAAATGCGTTCAGCAAACTGACAGTCAGGAGGAGCCTGGTAGCAGCTTTTCCGACTCACAAGTTTTATTAAAAGGCATCAACTTTCGTGAACAACTGTTTGCCGAACAGAAATCCAGCCCCCCTCCTTTTTTGTTGTTGTTTTGGGATGAGTTTATAAATCTCTTATATTGGTGCTGCAAGGAGAGCTTATCAATCCACTTCTCCCTTTTCCAACACTGGGGGGGGGGGGGCTCCCTAGCTTTCAATTCTCTCCCCCCCTTTAATAATTTGTCAAAATGCATTACCTTCAGATCAGTCTTTACAGGCCATCTGAGTTGTTTTAAAAGGCCTTTTCTTGATGGATTTTGCACTAAGCTGAGGTTGGGGAGCCAATGCAGGGTGGTTTGGGATGAGAATCGTCTCTCAGCTGAAGTTCACAAGGTGCCAGCCCCATACCTCATTTAATTGTATTACTTTTTAAAAAGTTTCCTTAACTTTTTTGAAAAAAGGGGAAGCTTGCATGCAAAGATACATCTTTATCTCCCGGGATATACCTGGGCCCTACATTTACCCCAGCAACATCTTTGGAAAATAGAAGTGGAGGACTGCAATGCAGCATCGGGGTTGAACACATACCTGCTACTAAGAGAAAAAAGGTTGGTAGAGAGCATTCCTCCAGACGAGGGAGGGTGATGCATGCCATCGTACTGATTTGCCAGCTGGTATATTGGCAATTCTTTCGCGGCTGTTGTCCTCTGGCTGTCATGGCAAGGCCTGAATATGAAATAGGGCCAAGTCCAGCTAATACTTGGATGGATAAGCGCTGGAGCCGGAGGTTGGACAGGTGAGCCCGAAAACATCCTGGAAGACCCCCAACGCACCACTCGCACACCATCGCCAAGGCTAATGGGATGTGAAGTTGTCAAGGGTAGAGTGTTGACTTGTCACGGACTTGGTGTGTTACTTACATGGTTTGCAACTATCGTGGCCAGGCGGTTTGGGGCAAATCCCCATGAATGCTTTCAGAATTCCAGGATGGTCGTCCCTTGCGTGATTGAAGTGTGAGTGAAAGGTGCAGGTGTGTGCAAACCCCTCTTCCACTACAATGGAAACACCACATCAGTGTTTCTCAACCTTTCACTCTAAGATGTGTGGACACATCCCCATGCTGGCTGGGGAATTCTGGGAGTTGAAGTCCACACATCTTAAGAGTGGCCAAGGTTGAGAAACACTGGGTTAGATTGAGAACTACCAACATTTTTAGCTCCCTGTGACTACTCTATGTGCAAGAAGTTCACTTCTTTCCAAAGAGATGGGCTGGGGGACTTTTTCAGCCCTTTGTCCTCCTGAGGCCAGGAAGCTCCATGGCAGGAAAAATGAACCCAAATCTTGACCTGAAGAGAGGCAGGGTTCGAAGGGCTACGGAGGACTTTTGAGCACTCAAACCCCACATTTTTTTCAGAGGACAACGCAGAGAGCAAACAGAAACCCGGGTACCAAGGGCTGTTCATGTTGTGGCAAAGAACTTAGAGCTGAATGTGTTCTCAAATGGCAGTGAAGGGGACCCTTTCTCCAGAACAGGCACATCTGGGAAGGATTCTTGCTGCTCTGATTATCCAAATCCACTTCAGTTGCAGTTTTGCCTGGGGACCAAGGCAATAAAGCATCTTCTCCTAAAACGAAGGAGGATTGGGAAAATCTCACCAAGCCAAACCCTACATGTTGAGACGCAGAGGCTGTAACTCCCACCGGTGGAATGATGTCAACCCAGCAGATCTAATTTTCAAATGCAGCTGATATCTGTACACCCATCACTGAACAATATGCAGCTCATCGTGTGATTAACACGCCAGCCGGCCAGGACCAGCCCTTCGGCCGCGTGGGCCTTGAATGAAAGGAGCCTCTCAAAAATGAGAAAAAAACAAAGCAGGCAGTTATCCCAAGATCTGGACTCAAATCCCAACTGAACTCACACAAAAACTCACTCCAAGAGGGCTGTTTCATCGTTCTGGAAGTATTCCAAGCTCAAAATTAACATGATTTGAACTTAAAGTACTTCTGGTAAGATTGGAACCACTCGTGTGAACTCCACCTGTTTTAGCCGTGAAACATTTTGCACAACCCCGCATCTTGGCTTATTCTCTCAAAGTCACAGGACGTTTGAATCATCTTCTGCAAAGCTGCCCACAGACAGTCATTTTCAGCCTCACTTCTGTTTCACGGGCAGCTAGGGATGAAGTCTTGTGCATCGGTATAAGCAACGTAAGAGCATACGAAACCCAGAATGATGGCTTTGAGCATTCCAAGTGCGAAACAAACTATGTTCCAAGAATTCTGTCATCGGAAGAAATACTGTGAGGCATTTGGTGTTTTGTTCAGATGGAACAGAGCTGAACTGTTGGTCCAATAAAACATTTTGAATCGAGCTGTTTTATTCTAAGCTTGAAACAAAGCACGATTTTTGTTTTCCACTAAACTATAGTATGGATTGCTTCGTTTTTCATTTAGCATATTAATCTGAACCCAGCCACTGCACTTTGGAAACCATGTCTTGTGGCTTAACCCAGCAGTTCGCAAACTGTGGGCCAGGAGCAACTGGGGGGGGTCAGCTTTTTCAGCTGATCAGCTTCACACGAAGCAGCTCCTCAGTTTATCTGCGCAAGTGGAGGGGGCAGTTCCAGTATTGCAGAAGTTGAGACTGCCTGTGATTTATAACTGCAATTATCAACAGTAATAACCCTAATGAAATCATTAGTTGGGGGGGGGGATCGTACAATTTTATTTATCATTTTAGGGGATTCTGATACCATAAAGTTTGAGTACCCCTAGCTTGGTGTGTGTTACATAAAGCGCTCTCTGTATTTGTGTGTTGGGGAAGAAAATCAGGTTCTTTCTTGTGGACTTCCCCATTTGTTCACAAGGGCAAATGCTTGGCACGTGAAAATCTGTCCCCCCAAAAAAGAAAAAGGTAGATATTCTGCTGCTTACATAAAGATTTGGCTCCGAGACAAATTACAGATGCCCGGAACGTTTCCCTAAGGCAGGCATGACTCTCGCTTGCTTTTAACGTCAACCCCATCCCTGGTCAGAGCAACCACTACCGCATTAAGCACAAAACGAGGAGTGGGGAACGGCTGATCGACGGAGACAGACACCGTTTGCGCCCACCCTGCCCTCATTTTCACAGACATGAAAACCAGGAAGGGCACCTGGCAGTTTGGCAGCTAAGAAGTCCCCAAGTTCACTGCATTTGTCGCTCTTCCCTGGCCAGCTTTTGGTTTGCAACTGGTGGGCTTAAAAAAAAAAACGAAAAACCCACCCCTGGTCTTCGGTGCGATTTAAAAAACACACACAGACATTCACTTCCCAAAGGGCTAAAAGAGCATACATGTCAGTTTATAGTAGCCAGGAGAGCTCTTGTGGCATGAAATACACTTACAAAAATAACTGTGCATTTATATGTATAATATATACAACACATATACATTATGTATATATTGCCTCCACTCCTTGCTCCTTTAGAAAACAAACCAGAATCAAAAAGTCTCGCTCTCCCCTCTCACACGGGAAGAGCAGTCAGTTTCACCCGCACCAATTCTGGTGGATCCCAAACTGCCCCCTCACTGCTGCCTCTTTGGAAGAACACCAAGCCCTCCCCGCCACTGAAAGCCCACCGCAAGACCCCCCCATGCCCTGCTCAAGAGGCCAGTCCAGTCCCTGAGGCCCCGCAGCTTGGCACAGTCAGAACCTGGCCAAGATGGGGATGGTTTGCGCAGACCTGGACAGGCCAACGAACTGGGGCACCTCTCGAAGGAGACTGTTGGCATTTCTCAGCCGGGCTCTCGCATTCCAGCTGAGGAGGCCTCGCGCACCCCCCCTTAGTAAGCCCCGAGGCCGAGGTAACTGCGTCCCCATCAGACTGCTACTGATCCCCTGCGCTGCCCAACCTCCCGGCTGCCTGCTGGGAAGGTGAGCCCACTGGGGAAGCTCACCTCCTGCCACGGCTGGGGCTCTCGGCTTTCCGGCCAGGCCCCCTCCTGGTTTGATATGTTAAGACAAATGCTTGGAATTTAAAGGTATTCACATTGTGATGAAGGTCATGAAACACATTCATACATGCACGCGCAAGCGTTAGAAAGGTCATGTGCAAAACTGTAAATCGGGGGGAGGCTGGTAGCCCCCAGAGAGGCTTGTGCTGCTCTTCCTTGGATTCATGGCTTCTCTGCAATTCACCCCCCAGCAAGGGGAAACCCAAGGCTGTATTTTTTCACAGGTCGCTTGCTTTCACTCCTTCACAGAAGGGAGCCCTGGAGGGGAGCCTGTGACGGGCACCAGATCAGACCCTTGGAAAAGGCCGGAGGTCGGAATTCACCCGGAACAGAAAAGCGGCCGTTATCCCTAGAGAAAACGGGGTGGGGGGCGTCAGGGGTGGGAGAGAGGGCCAGGTCTGGGCTTCCCTGCTGGTTCTCCCTTCAGGAAGAATCCTGGTCCATGCTGCACCCTAAGGCTTCAATGTCGTTGCTGATGTCTGAGATCATCCGGTCCCATTCATCCCCCTCCGAGGGCGCAGACTGGTCGTCCGAGCTGCCCGTGGCTCCGTTGCCGTTCGTCGTGGAGTTGGAGGTAGTTCTCACAGTCCACCTGTATCTCCCAAAGCTGTCCGTGATGATGCCCCGCCCGTCCTTCACGCCAATGGTTTCTAGGAAGTTCTCAAAGTACTGGCTGTCCTTCTCTGGAATGAAGGGCCGAAGGCCTTGGGGAGAAAGAGGAGGGAAGGCGACTCACAGGAGCACCAGAAGACCTTTCGCAGACTTGCCCGTTGCCTGGAGTCGCCCACTTCACCCAGGTGGACATCCGGCAGACGTGCTAGAGGACATTCCCACCATCCTCGGCCAGCACAGCTCTTTTGCCTTCCAGCAAAGGAGAAGGTGAGGCTGTTCCTGGACTTACACGTGGGAGAATCAGAATGATCATCAGTCCTCTACAGTGAGAAAAAACCTGGGGGTGATAGTTAATCCAGGTCACAAAATCCTGCAGAGTTCCTGAATTTTACTTTGGGGGGAGGGAAGGTGCAAAGTTTCACCAGCCATTCCCCAAGAGGCTGTGAAGAGTGGGAATGTTTAACCAGTTCTATGTGTTTCGTACACCTTTTAACGTACTTTCTTTCTAAAGTTACCCTGAAAGTATTTTTTTTTTTTTAAGGCCAAAAAGCCACGAATCGCTGTTTGAAATAATTAACAGGGCAGATTCTTATTTTCCTTTTTGTCATTAAATTATGACAATTGGTGCAGCTGGATGCAGGCAAGAGAAAAATGCATGTTTATGGCTGAGGGCAGAGGGGTCATTTCCAGGGAATGCAAGAAAAGAAAATATGACTCTCTTTAGCTCTCCGCCATCCGCATGCGGCAAACAACGTGGAGGCCCTTTTCCTCCTGATCTCTCGAGCAGGGAGCAACGCAGCTGGTGGCCCTTCCGGCCGGCCGGAGCCTCCAGGGGCTGAGCCAGCAGAGGGAGCCACAGCAAAACGCAGCTTCGTGTGGGAAAAGGGCCACCTTTTCCATCTGCCTACGAATGGATTTCCTTCATAATTCCCTTTTTTAAAAGAATCAGTTCGTCATCTTCTGCTCTGGCTTGTTCTATTGCCGTTAATTTCAATTTTATTTCAATCTAAGATTTCAGAGTTAAAAACCACAGAACTGTAGTGGACTATTTTGCTTCCCTGGCTGTTAAATCAAAAAACATTAAGAAAGTGTTTTGAGACTTTGTTCAGTCAGTACCAGAGCTGCACCCTAATCAAGCCATTTTAAAAATGGCTTGAGGCCAGCATTTACCTAAAACAATCCCCATAACGGTAGGGAAGAGGGGGGAAAAGGGCATTTTTGTTCTGAAAATGGAGCATCTGCTAGAAGAGAAGTGAGGAAGTGAATCTGAGGTCTAAGCCAACCTGTCCTGACCGCCAAAGGCCTGCAGATGTGCTGGACTTCAACTCCCCTAATTCCCAGCCAGCCTTAGAATATCAGCTGAGAATGGTCGTGCTACAATCTAGCAGCCATTTCCAAAGAGGTAACCAGGTTTGCCCTAAACCAAGGTTTAGCACTGCGTAGCCCACATTCCTGTCTGCCTTGACCACGAGCCTGTAGGAGACCCCCTTTTCACACCCAACTGCTTCCTCTAAACAGAAGCTTTTGTTCAGTTGTGTGAATTTCCCTCCCCTTCCCCAGGCACAGCTACGTGACCTCCACAGCCCAATTTCTTCCCAATTTGCGGTCCTTGCCTCTAAGCTAATGGGTGAAACACACACGCCAGGCTAATTTTTGGTGCACCAAATCCCCGCAGGGGGCGGGGGTGGGGGGAAGCTTACCCAGGAGAAGGAATTTCCGGCTATCCCCATACAGGTGCCGCAGGTTGACACAGAACTCGTGTACGGACGCCCCGTTGCGATATTCGTGCAGAAGCATGGCAAACTGCTGGATCTCATGAGAAGAGAGTTTTGTCCGTAACTAGAGAAGACGAGGAACCCAGTTAATCAAATGAGCAGGGAACCGAATGCTGGAAGAAAACCATGTTCAAACACACATTCCAGGGCCACCTCTCCATGAAGTTAGACAAGATCCTCTCATTTAAGTGGTTTTCCGAGAGTAAAGCATCTGCCGCTTCACATTCACCATTTATGGTCTTTTAATGGGACCTACACCTGTCCTATCAACGTAAGCATTGAGAAGGACGCCGAATGAGTCCCGGGTGAGCCTTTCCCAGCGCTGGGCAAAAGGGTAATTTGGGGTAGTTCAAACAGAGGCAATGACAGTTCAAACTTTCCTTCTGCATCCCAAGATTCATTCACGTCACCGGGATTGGGAGTTTTTGCTCAGAACCTACACAGGATGGTATTGTCGGAACTGCACACTTGCAAGATTTCAAGGGAGCAAGATCATCTTTGGATTGCCTGGAATGTATAAAGCAAAAGCTTGATTTATATCCAGTGAATACAAAAATGACTGATTAAGGGCTCTGCCTCAGTTCCTGGCAGATGACCATTCCCAGACCGTCCAGGGGATGTTGTATAAATCAAAGATGGGATTAAGAAAATGCGTCCAGGAAGTGCTGAAGGCCAAGCGGCTGGCAGGGGTAATCTGGAGAAAAAGCTCTTCATCTTCGCAGAGAAAACAGTCTTGGATTTCTCCCCATCGTCTGCTGGTACGGGTGCATTATCCTAGGGCTGGAGGTGAGTGTGAAGCCACAGCATAGGGTGTGAAGAAACAGCTACCTTAATAACCAAGGTAGAGGGGTGAGGAGCCCTTCCCCGTTCAGGGTGTCTGGCTCCTTGCCTGCACGAGTCTCTCCTGATCCAGTCGCCCCAAATCAGAAGGGACCCGGCAGCACCTTTTTCGACTAACCGATTTCATTCCAAGGCATCAGCTTTCGTGAGCTTACGCTTCTGAACTAAACCTGTGAGTCACAAGAGGTTCTACCAGGCTGCTCCTGATTTTGGCCTCCCAGAGACTAACACGGCTCTCCTCTGACACTGATCCGTAGCATTATCTGATAAAATGGAGCAACCCAGAGCTCTAAGCAGGAAGCTAGTTCTGGCGTATCCCTAAATACCTTCTGGTTCTCTAGCTCTCACCCCCTCTGCACCCCTCCACTGGTGCGTGACTTACCCTGTGTTAGGGAGGAACTGCCCACCTGCTGCCCCAAAGGGGCCCTGACGGTCCCCGGGCGAGGAAGAGGGATGCGCCGCCTACCGTCATCATGTAGTCCTGGAGCAGCTCTGTTGCAGTGGTGCTCAACTCGCTGTCGCTGGCTGTCTTGGCGGGGGGCGATGGCTGTGCCGAAAAGGAGGAAGGGGAGTTGCCACCCGTCTCCAAGGACTCGGGGAAAGAACTGAAAAGATACAAGGGGCCCAGAGGTGACATATGAATCTCACAGCCAGTTTCCCAGCCTGGAGGCTGTACCCAAAACTCAGAAAATGGCAGGGACAAGGCCAGTGAGCTGCATCTAGGGCTGAGCTCAGCCTCCTTCCCCAGCGGGTGCCTGACAGATGGGTTAAAGTACAGCCTAACCATTCCCAAGCAATGCGGGCCGATGGCTGAGTGGGTTGGGAGCACTGGAGCTTAGGCACCGACACGTCCAAAGCAAGCCCAGCTGGGGACAGTAGGGTCCTACACATGGAGTCAGTGGTACAAGGCCACCTCTCTCTTCTGTTTCTTTCAGATCATGGGGCCTCAGGATTTCCTGTGAACAGCAGGAAGTGGTGCTGCCCCCCCGACAGATCTCTTGTCCCCTGACTGCCATGTTGCTTCCATTTTCTCTCTGGTCTTGAAGCAGATGCTCACAGGTTTGAATTACAACTCACTGAAGCTATCACAGGGAGTGAGTGGTGCCTACAGCCCTCATCAAATTTCTTGTCTTGATTCTTCTGATATACAGGTAGTCCTCGCTTAATGACCATGCATTTAATGAACGTTTGAAGTTACGATGGCCTCGAAAAAGTGATTTACAACCTGTACTCACACTTGTGACTGTCGCAACGGTCGCACCACCTCCTGTGGTCACGTGATCGTGATTTGCAACCTTTTTTACAACAGTTGTTAAGCGAATCACCACGGTCATTAAGCGAATTCCAGCAAAAAAGTCTATTGGGATAGTTGGATTTGCTTAATGATGTGATTTGCTTAAGGACTGTGGTGATTCTCTTAACAACCATCATAAAATTGGGTCCGGTCACATGGTGACTCGCTTAACGACCATCCCGCTTAACAACAATTTTCCAGGCCCTATTGTCATCATTAAATGAGGACTACCCGTAGAATAGTCTGTTACCCCAGAATAGAGAATGGAAGGTGATATGTACAGACTAGAGACCCCCAGTGCATTGCCCACATTTTGCAATGAACTCACAAAGTGCTTGCTTCTGTTTCATAGGGATCTTTGACATCCACTTTTGTAGACGAGTCATCTGCAGGGAAGATGGTTGAGAGCAGAGCTAAGAAAGCTGGAGAGGATGGGCCGCTTCTGGCCCTCCCCTGTGCCGGCCCTGGAAACCACATTCTGATGGCCGACTTGGAGCAGAAGCCTCTGGGTTGCCAGCCCTGCTGCAGGAGGATCTTTCCGACTGCCCCACCAAACGCCCTCAGCCACACAGCGAAAGAGGGCTGTGAGCCGTGCAGATCACTGGGCTTTTCACTTGCTTTTTAAATTTCACATCTGCGAGGAATTTCCATGCTTTCTGACGGAGAACGAAGCCAAATTCCAACACAAGATGAGAAACTCCACAGGAAGCCTCATTTTCACCTGCCGAGCTGGTGATGGAACTCTAACATAAGGCAAGCAACAGGGAAGTCCCTGTGTCCCAAAATACCATCTTTCTCCCCAACACTCTCATGAGGTTGGTTAACCTCTATGCTCCGTACATATATTCCTCCATTCCTTTGCAAGAAGACAGAAAATTAGGGTTTCAGCTAGAAGCCACCACAGGGGGAGCATGGTCTGCAACTTGTTTGAAGTCTTTTGGAAAAGATGGTGCCTCGGAGCACAATCCTTTCCTTCCCTGCAAATAGGAACCTCTTCCAACTGGAAGATCTGAGCAGGCAGAGTCAGCCACTCATTACTAGATCTTTCTGAATAAAGTGGGGAAAGAGTTTCTCATCTTGAGTTGGAGTTTGGCTTCATTCTCAGCCAGTTTTGGAAAGCTATCTGCTGGACATGGATTCTGGTGGTGGAGTAAACCCCGCATGCCAAAAATCACCATTTCAAGACTACTTTCTCCAGCTATGGGCATTCCTGCGATCAAGTACTAGAGAAGTTCTCTTTTGGGGAACCCAGAAAGACAACCTTGGGCTCCCTGATCAGACATCTGTCCAATGAAATGTGACAAAAAGGAGGAAGCCACTTCATCCCATCAATTGCTTGCAGTACAAGAGAATGACATCATCCTGACTGCTGTTGTCTCCCCTACCAATCCAGGAGTCTCCAGAACAGTTGCTGAAGATGCTCCCAACCCCAAGAAAATCTGGGTATTTCTCATACCGCTGTGCAAAGACAGATGTCGGGTTGGTGTGGAGGCCCCATCAAATATTGCTCTGTCCAGGAAATCTATGGTAGATTCCGTGTAAACAATATGGAAGACTTGGCTGAGAAGGGAGCACAGTTCCTCCGCGGTTACCTGAAGAAAGAGGGAAAAGAATGAAGAAGAGACGGACATCTTTCCACAAATCCCTTCAGGAGCAGATGAGAACTTCCTGAAGATAGGGGCTCCCTGCCCCACTTCTGGTACAAAGCTACTGCAGTGGGGAGAAGCGTTCTATTGCTCGTACATAGAGGGGAAGAAGGGTTATACTGGGGGCTGTGTTTGGAAGAAAATGGTTCAGCCTCTAGTAGAAATGGAGAGAGGGGACCAACACTACCGCCAATAACTGCTGGTGGACCAAATTATATTGTCCTCTGGAGAAAAGTAACACAAACCACTCTCTGGGGACCGTAAGTAACACATACGTGCATGATTTTGGGGTTTTAGTAGCTAGCTCTGATACAGTCAAACGAGAGAGGGCTTTTTAAAATTCACGGGTATTTCTTTTATAAACTTAAAATATGTTTACCCGACTTTTTAGGAAATCCTCCTTTGGCCCACAGGCAGTCAATGTAAAAGACATGACTTGAAAGAAAAGAAGGAAGGGGCAGAGGAACAAAAAGTAGAAAACCGGGAACCAATTCTCACTGTTAACCGTTCTATAGACATAAATCCAGGCTGAAAACAATTCAAGTGCCCTGGCTGAATACTTTCCAGCAGTGACAGTTGGGGAGGCAGCTGATCTCTCAGAAAAAACAGGTGTTTTTTTTTTTTCTGGGGGAAAAATTAACCTTAACACTCAAGCCAGGTTCATACACAGGCTGGATTCCCACAACACGCTTATCCAGGTCAGATGAAGCCCTAGCAGTTGGGTGTAATATGCTAAGGTAGTTTTCATCTTAATTATCTTAGGGCAGTGTTTTTCAACCTTGGGAACTTTAAGATGGGTGGACTTCAGCTCCCAAGAATTCCCCAGACAGCATCTGTCTGACCCCGAGAAAGTGTGTTGATGTCATGGAGAACAGGAGGCGAACATGGGTCCGGGCGTGCTCCAGAGTAGGGGAGGGGGGCCAAATGACCCCCAACACCATAGAACAGTGTTTCTCAACCTTGATGACTTTGAGATGGGTGGACTTCAATTCCCAGAATTCCCCAGCCAGCACAGCTGG